TAAATAAATAAATAAATAGATAAACAAACAAAAAAGCAATCAGAAAATAGGTCCCCGAGCATCATGACGACACAAAGGGGATGTTTTCTGCTCCTGTATGACATTACATTTAAGTTTTAGCTTCAGTAAGAACGGTACTCCTTCTTTCTTTCATATAAAATTCTATCGTTCTGATCTCTTGTCCTTATTTTTGTGTTTGTTAAACTCTTATGACACCTCTAATCTTCGGCACTAATATGACCTTATTGCGTTGCAAGTGCCAGAAAACTTTTGCTAGAACTTTAAAAAACACACATAAGTGTCAGTGGGTGGGGTTTGTTAGAACCTTAGCCCTACATGAGGGAAAATTGTTTTAACGGACTATTATATTTCAGTCGCTCTACTTAAGTGACTTTTTAAAAAACACCACCCATGATGATTTCAACAGACACAGTAAGTGCAGCCAGTCTACTAAGAACGTAATTCAGGTCAATGGGGAAAAAAACAAAAACAAAAACCGTTTAAAATGAACACCCTGACAAACTTGTTTTGTGTATTTCAGCGCAGTGCAAGTACAGTGAATACTTCAATGGTATTGCTCACGTGCCCTATCCTGGAGACTGCAGCAAGTTCATTCAGTGCAGCATCGATGAGGTTGGTTACTTTATTGATTTATTCTTAAAATCCATCCATCCATCCATCCATCCTTTTATCCGTCTATCTATCCATCCTTTTATCCGTCTATTTATCAATCCATCCATCCATCCATCCACACATCCATCCATCCATCCATTCGCCTACCCATCCGTCCATCAATCTATCGTTTTATCCGTCTATCCATCCATCCAGTTAACAGTCCATCCACCCATCTACCCATCCATCCATCCATCATAGTAGAAAGACATGAATGTCAGATGAGTCCCCCATCGGTATTTGGATAGGGTGTGTTTTTGTGCTTGTTTATTTATGTGTCTATTTTATTTATTTATTTGTTTATTTATTTATTTATTATTGTTTTTTGTTATGGTTTTTGTTTTGTTTTCTCTTTTTCAATGCAGCTGTGAACTTTTTTTTATCATCACAGCACAGTTGGTGGTGATGAATAATTCAAGTCATTACAAAAAAACCAACACCTAAAGTACTTCTCTATCTCTCCCACACCACAGTCCTTCCAGTTCTTGACCAACGTGACAGACTGTCCGTTCGGCACACTGTGGAGCCCTGAGAAGGAAGCCTGTAGCAAGCCTAGAGACGTGGAGTGTGGTAGGTGCTGATCTGTGGTGGGTGATGATGATGATAATGATGATGATGATGATGATGATGATGATGATGATGATGATGATGATGATGGTGGTGGTGGTGATGATGGTGATGATGACGATGATGATGATGATGATGATGGTGGTTGTGGTAATGATAGTGATGATGACAATGATGGTGATGATAGTGATGATGGTAATTATGATGATGGTGGTGGGTGATGATGATGATGATGATGATGATGATGATGATGATGATGATGATGATGATGATGATTATGGGGATGATGATGATGATGATGGTGGTGGTGGTGGTGGTGGTGGTTGGGGTGGGGGTGATGGTGATGATGCTTTTTTTTACAGGGAAGGGTGTTTGTGTGGGAGGAGGGTTAAATCTTGGTTAAATATGTACAAGATACTATCGGCTTTATGAAATTTTATACTGCAAACTCTCCCTCCTTTAAACCAAGCTCAAAGTTGACGTGTCGTAACTTGTAACAATTACCTAATGTCTCTTTTGGGTTACAAGGACATCAAATAAGTGTGTGTGTGTGCGCGTGTGTGTGTGTGTGTGCGTATGTGTGTGAGTGTGAGTGTTTATGTATGGGTGTGTGTGTGTGTGTGTGTGTTGTGTGTGTGTATGTGTGTGTGTGTGTGTGTGTGTGTGTGTGTCAGTGTGTGTAGGTGTGTGAGTGTGGAAGTGTGTGTAGGTGCATGTTTGTATGTCTGTGTCGTGTATGAGTGTGAC